TACTTGTTACCTCCTGTAGTTGCAGGTGAGATAGGTCCACACAAATCGATGTGGAGCAACTCCAAAGGCTTGCTTGCACGCCACTGTGCCATCCTAGGGAATGCCATGCGTGTTTGCTTCCCTGCCAAACATGCCTGACAGACTTCATCAGTGTGATCAATCACAGGAACACCTCCCACCATGGATTTTTCTGACAACAGCTTCAATGACCGAAAGCTTGCATGACCAAGCCTGCCATGCCACAGCCAGGCTTCTTCAGACACCCTTGCCATCAAGCACACTGGTTCTAAACTTCTCAACTCAGCTTGGTATAGTCGATTTGCAGTTTGACTAACCCTTAACACAAGCTTCTGTCTCACTTTGTCATACACCTCCAACCAATTGTCATCCATGATCACCTTGTGCCCGGCTTCAGTAAGCTGCCCCAGGCTGATCAAATTGCTTCTCAGCCTTAGGATGTAGTACACATCATGCAACAACCACTGATCCCCATTCCTGCACTGAAACAACAGTGTTCCCCTTCCCTTGATCTCCACTGCAGATCCATCACCAAATCTGACCTTGCCAACCACTCCCTTGTCAAGATCTTGAAACTTGCCTGCATCACCTGACATGTGATTGCTAGCTCCATTGTCTAGATACCAGACATTTCCTGTCTTCTTCTCTCCACCGGTCAGATGTAGCTCGGGCATCACCTGCCTTTCATCTAGGAACACAGCAGAGTGCTGCATCCCCGTGATCACCCTTGGCGCGAACTCGAGTGACTCTAGCACCTCCGTGACCGCGAGCATCAGCGCCGGCTCGACGTTCTCCGCTCGAGCATGATGAGCTTCATCTCCCTTCTTCTCTTCTCCACCTGGACAACGATTGGCGTAGTGACCAGTCTTGTGACATTTGAAACACTTGATGTGGCTCTTGTCACACTTGGCCCGGCCTTCCTTGTTGGACGCATCCCCGCGCCCGCCGCGGCCACGGCCTTGCGCACCGTGTCCTCGGCCTCGGCCACGACTCCCCCATCCTGCACTCTCCCCTTCCCCGAGGACTCCCCGCCGGACTTCTTGTGTCGTGCCTCCCACTGGGCCTGCGTGAGTAACAGCTGCCCGCCGTCACCCCTGGATCCACCTGCTCCCCGCTGGATCCGCTCCTCGTAGGCCTTTAGATGACCAACTGCCTCCTCAAAAGGCAATTTCTTCATATCGAAGAACTGCTCTATCCCGGCGACAACCGTAATGAAGCGATCCGGGACAGTGTCAAAAAGCTTCTTCACCATCGCCGTATCATCCAGAGTTCCACCCAGGTTCCCGTACTTCACCGACATCGCCAAAATTTTGCTTGCATACTGATCAACTCCTTCATCATCCTTCATACGCAGTGCATCGAACTCACACTTCAAGGTCTGCAGCCTTGCCTCCTTCACACGATCCGCGCCAACAAACCGCTCCTTAAGACACTCCTAGACCTCCTTCCCCGTCTTCTTCTTCGCCACTTGCATAAGCAAATCATCAGGTAGACACTAAAGGAAATGAGCCCTCGCCTTCCTGTCCTTGGCAGTTCTTGCCGCAGTTGCCGCCTGGTCCTCTGCTGCCGCATCTGCCTCCCCCGATGGCTCTACTACCTCCCAGACACCTTGATCCTCCATAATTGCTTGCACTCGGATGCTCCAGCTCATGTAGTTGACGCCCGTAAGCTGCGGATATGCATACCGCTCTCCGCCGCCACCGCCACCTCCCCCGCCGGAACCGCTGCCGCCAGAGCGACTTGATTCGCTCATACTTGCAGATTATGGTAGATCAGGCTGTGATTAAGGCTCTGATACCAAATGTTGGTTTAGGAACACACAAATCACAGGCCTGTATGCAAATTGGCTAGCCTAGAATCAAGAGGAACAAGTATGAACTTGTGATGCACCGGAACGTAGAAATGACGAACGACAACTGTCAGAGGACAGTGCTATTTTCCACGGATTAATATGATCAGTACATTACAATTACAATGGAAGTTTTTCTCACAAGCACATACTCTGAGGTCTAAGCTACTTATACCAGCAACTCTTACACACGATACATGGCTAAACAACTGCCTAAGACACAGATACAATGGAGTAGAATGCAGCCGTCAAGCGACGTCGTGTCGTGGGCGCGCTCACCGCGTGCACACCAACTGCCTGAGTTCAAACCTGTAGCTTCCCGCCTTCGGCTTGGTCAGACTCTGACACTTCCATGCTATGACATAATTACACCAACAGAACCCACGCTACATAGGCGAGCAATGGGCCTGAACGGTACGCTTGCGTGCGTAAAAGGGGCAGCGCCTCTGTACCTTTAAGAGAGCCGTGAGCTAGTTGAGGAGGACACGATTTGTCATAACATAAAACTCTATTCCTAATCTAAAGCACTCGTCCGTCGTATCTGCTGTTCTTCTTCCTCGTGTGCCTTTCTTCTTCCCTAATCCTCTTTTCGATCTCCTTCCCCAACTCCAATCCCTCACAGAATACCGTCTTGAATATGAACAGCGTGGGCACCCAAAGCGGGATCCCCACCAAGGAGGGTCAAGATCGTCGATTGCGGTCAGCAGATGGGCACTCTTAGATTGATATGAGAGAGGTGAGCTGGTTTGTTAAATCGAGTTATTGTGGAGAGTAAGTTTGAATCACTGTTTTTTTATATATGATGATTTGCATGCTTTCTCATCTCGTTCGTGTTCTTCCTCGCGGTTAACTTTGTGTCCTCCAAACAAGCTGCTTGCTCATTCTTGAGATCGATGGAACGACAAAGCTTCCTGCTGTTTGGCTCATGTCCATTTGCGCAAGTGGACGTACGTACGTCACATCAGGAACGGTCATACTCGCTCATACCGTAGCCACCCCACTCGACCAGGGACGACCACGACACAAAGTCAACCTAGCTGCCTCTTTCCAGTGCTCGTCACCTTTTCAGTTTGCATGCATGATCTGATGGTCAACGGATGCGCACCATCGCATCGCATATTCAGCTTCATTGTCTACAGAAAAGGTCCACATTACCTCCTCAACTTTCGCGAAAGTCCGCTTTTCCTCCATAAACTCTAAAACCGGGCAAAACATCTTCCTCAACTTTTAAAACCGTTCATCTTACCCCCTGGACCTGTTATGAGCAGTTTTGAAGGCGGTTTTGTTTTTTCTTTTTTATTTATTTCGGCTGAATCTTTGAAAAATCATAGTAAATCACAAAAAAATCATAAAATGGAAAATCCAATTTTATTGGACTCATCATGAGTAGATCTACACAGTGAATATATAATATGGTATGCTTTAGTACAAAGTTTTTGCTGTGGCTTTAGATCTATGCTTTTCTGTAATTAAATGGAATAATTCATAGCTGCAGTTTCTATAGTCCAATTGTGATGAAATTTTCTTGGTGAGCTAATTAGTGTATGAGTGAACTGTAGTAAAAATTTCATATAGCTTAGTTATAGATTTATTTATATTTAACAAGCATAAACCTAAATAAAATCTTTAGAGTTCAAGGAGGAAAAACAGACTTTCGCGAAAGTTGAGGAGGTAATGTGGGCGTTTTCCTTTGATCAGTGACTTCCTCTGTTGCCGTATCCGGAACAGTGATAACAGTGGGCTCCCCCATCGCGGTCAGGAGTAGTTTCATCTGCCACGGTAGATGCGTAGATACTATTTCCTGATAAGAAACAGTTTCTTCTTTTTTTCCTTTCTCTTTAGTAAATACTATGCCACATCCGTAAATTGCTTATATAGCAATGTAATTAATACATGTACAAACTACCATAGTTTCTGCAGCGGGAGTGCTGGCAAGACCGGCTCCTCACCACAACCGGAGCCCCTTTGGATGCCATTATGGTTCTCTAGGCTTCCGGTCCAAAGGGGTTACTGACACAATCCGGGTGATAGATAAAATGCCCGTCACTTTTATATAGTGCCAATCACTAATCAATTATTTTTACATAGCGAAGAACCGATTGTCGTACCGTCTCGTCATGAGTCATGACATCATGAGAAACAATGCCAAACTTCAAAGACTTTATTTTTCTTGAACAGGTACTACAGTTATAATTTGTTTTTTAATATCTAAGGGCCGGCACAACTTATCACCAGCTTAATGAGCTGTTGTGAGCTATTTTCTTTTTGCCAAACATCCTTTTTTAAAACAGCTTTCATCAACTGTTTTTCTTCTCCTCTCACAAAGAGATGAGTTGGAATGGAACTGAAAAAAAATAGATTATCTCAGCTTCACCTAACACATGTGGGGCCCATGATGCCCAAGAGACTGGTCCACCAGGAGCGAGAGCGTACATGCTCGGGAGAAGACGGGGCGAGTAGCTGCGGGAGAAGACGGGGACGTGGGGCTGGGGCGTGACCGTCGGTGTGAGGCCAGGGTGCGGCCCCCGGCGCAGGGCCAGGTCGCGTCCGCCGACACCGGGCAAGGGCTCGTGGCCGTCGGGGCTTGCAGCCTCTGGGATGAGCGGCACGCCACCCATGAGGAAGACAACGGTGGCCCAGGAAGAGTTGAGGAAAAAATAGAAAAAAAAAGAAAAGCTAAGGGTACTATGGCAATTTTAGTCTTTTTGTCTGTTATATGAAGCTGTTTACCAAACAGAAAGAGAAAAATAACCCAGCTTCACCAATAGAGCTGCTTATTGAGCTGAAAAAAAAACAGCTTCAAGAGGTTAATAGTTTGGCTCATAACCTTTTCCATAGTCGTTAATGCCCGTCACTTCTTAATGTAGCACCAATCAGTCTAGCACGACCCGCCGGTGAAGACGATTTCCAACCGCCCCTCTTGCGTGTGCGTGCGTGGTAACTGGACACCAACCAACCGGTCAAGTGCAGCAACCTACTGTACTGAAGTGTGTACTCTACGTACTCTCCATAATAAAATGGAGGCTGCTAGCTTTCGTGTCCGGACAGTCGCAGCTAGCCATTTATCAGCCAAAAGAACTCACTGCGCATGCAATCCTAGCAAAAAGGCGGAAGCGGAGGTGATCGGCCGGCGATGTCAGAGGGCGGCAGGAAGAAGACGGCGTGCGTGACCGGACGCAACGGGTACATCGCCTCGGTGCTCATCAAGATGCTGCTCCAGAAAGGCTACGCCGTCAAGACGACGGTCAGGAACCCCGGTTCGTTCGGCTCCGATCCTCATTAGCTAGTTTCCACACTGAGCGTGAACACTTAGTTGCAGTTTCTTGCTTGTGATCCCATCCATCCCATGAGTCCGTCCATGACAAAACGGGATAGGAACTGTTGGCAGTGGCTGCTTTAGGCTCTGATTCTGAACGTGCTGTGCATTGTGATTCTGAATATATAATCCTAGATGCCATGGAGAAGAGCTCCCACTCCCACCTCAGGGACCTGCAGGCTGCAGGCGCTTGGCCCCCTGCAAGTCCTCCGCGCCGACCTGGACGACGAAGGCAGTTTCGACGACGCCGTCGCTGGCTGGGACTACGCCTTCCTTGTCGCCGCTCCAGTGAACCTCCATTCGAAGAATCCTGAGGTACTGTGCACCAAAGTCACCGCTGCCTATCAGCAGTGATCAGCACACTAGCTTCTTTTCGATCTGGTATATATGGCACCCAATGCACAATGTCATTTTCACCTGCTCAATTTTGGTGGTGACAGAAAGAACTGATCGAGCCTGCTGTCCGAGGAACCCTGAACGTCATGAGGTCGTGCGCCAAGGCAGGGACAGTGAAGCGCGTCGTCCTGACCTCGTTGGCGGCCGCAGTCTCCGGCAGGCCGTTGCAAGGCAGCGGGCACGTTCTGGACGAGGAGTCCTGGTCCGACGTCGAGTACCTCACTGCCAACAAGTCCGGCCCCTGGGTAATAGCAGACAACTATACTCCTCCACACATAAATGTCCTGCTGTCTTGTCCTGTCTGTCCCCGTTCTCGTTCGAAACGGAACTAGAAGCCGTTCGACTGGTGGTTTCTGCGACTGATAAGTCGGCTAATGTTATTTTGTTGTGAGAGAAAAATACTGTACCATAGTTGATAAGTCGGGCTGATAAGTTCAAGCGAGTTCTTTTTCCCTACACACATAATTAAATAGGGTTTGTTCCAGTCCTGAATGATGACGAGCATCATGACAATGGCACACACCGTGCTTGCACTGCATGCATCGCAGGGGTACCCAGTCTCCAAGGTGCTCTCGGAGAAGGAGACGTGAAGGTTCGCGCAGGAGCACAGCATCAGCCTCGTCACCGTCTGCCCCGTCCTCACCGTCGGCGCGGCACCTACCGCAAAGATCCACACCAGCGTCCCCGCCAGCCTCTCCCTGCTTTCCGGTTCGTCTGCTTCCAAAATTCCCGTGTCCCTTCTCTTCTCCACGTACCTAGAGCTTTGCACTGCACTGCATGTCATCAGCATGTCATGGTTCCCCAATGCAAAACTTGCAGGCGACGAAGCAGCGTTCGGCGTGCTGAGAGGCATCGAGATGGCCACGGGCTGCGTGCCGTTGGTTCACGTCGCCGACCTGTGCCGCGCCGAGATGTTCGTCGCCGAGGAGGACGCGGCCGCCGGGAGGTACGTCTGCTGCAGCGTCAACACCACCATCGTCGACCTCGCCCGTTTCCTGGCGGACAAGTACCACCCGCAGTACACCGTGAAGAGAGACCTGCTGTAAGAAGTAAGAACCGCCCGGCTTTCACGTACAGCTCTGGATTCTGGAATATATTTTGCACTGGAGAGGTCAGTGATTCGAATGCTTGCGCGTGCTTTGCAGCTGCTCCGACGAGGTCCTTCAGAAGCCGAGAGTGAGCCTGTCGTCGGCGAAGCTTGTCAGCGAAGGGTTCGAGTTCAAGTACCAGACGCTGGGCGAGATCTACGACGACGTGGTGGAGCACGGCAAGGCCCTGGGGATTCTACCCAGCTGATACTTTCTTTAATTTGCATCGTCTTTCCATCTATGTGAATTTGGGAAATAAATTTGCTCGATCTGTCTCTGTACATATACGCCAGCTGAACTATATATAGAGGTTCGGTCAGTTGCTCTGCGTTTCTGTGTTCCTGCATTTCTTATAAGGCAATAACTCGTGGAACAAAAACTTGTCGACCTGCATTTCCTATATAAGGCAATAACTTGCTGGCAAGTAAAATGTGCAGGATTATCTTAGGGAAAAAATGTTGGGAGTGTCTAGTTATCTGTCGACAGATTTTATATGGTCAAATCTGTCAGATTTTATAATACATGTGCATATAGGCCATGTTCGGCTTACCCCATATTTGGCTTGTTCGGCTTCTTTTTTCAGCCGGAACAGTGTTTTTAGCCAAGTTTCAAACCAGCGAACGGGGCCATAGTTTACATGTGATGTTCTATGATATACTTTATGATGCTCACATGGTATAAAAGAGATGTTCTATGCAATCTGACAGATTTAGTATAAAAAAATCTGTCAACAAGATAAATAGCAGGTAATATACATGTGAGATGTTCTTATAGTGTACATATGATGTTCTATAATGTATTTTATAATGTTCACATGGTATACGAGTGATGTTCTATGAAATCTGACAGGTTTAGTACCAAAAAATTTGTCTGACGGATAAATAGCAAAATTCAACAAGGTTTTTGTTTGGAACCCACATAAGAATAGCAAATTTTCAGTACAATCTATGTATCAAGACTTGTTACTTTTCTATTTTACAAAAAAATCAGAACATATCATTTTTTTTCAAAATATATATACACTACTGTGAAAGATAAAAAATAGTTCAGAAGTGTGCTGATTTTAATTATTTTAGCAACAATACACAACTTTTTCTTTTTTCTCTAAAAAATGAAGGTACAAGGCCGCCCCAAGTATATGTTAGAAATTTAGGAAATTGTATCTTTTTTCTAGACTGTCAGTTATCACACCTCTTACCGGTAGTCCATCGCAAGTGTGTCTTTCTTTGTTGAGGTTGATAGATTACATCCTACGTTTTACTAATAGACTAAATTTATTTCTATTTGATTTTTCTATAAAAACATTAACTAACATATCTTATATATTAATACATTACTCAATTGTTAACGTGATTGCGAAGGCCTGATATTTTACTAAGATATATTAACCAACCTTTTAACGTGCTATTAGATATTTTATTATTAATCAGGGGCTCATTAATATATCCTCTTGTGTGCCTAGTTTTTTTGGCAATGATATTTATATTAACCAACTTTTAAGGTTATTGGTAGTACATAGTATATTGGATATTTTATTAATGGTAATGCTCAACACTGAGCGTCCGGCCGGCCGGGACGGACCCGCCTGCCGCCGAGCCTCGTGCCTCGTGTCTCGCGCGCCCCACCCGCGTCTCATGTCTCACGCCCCCACTCGTGTCGTGCCTCGCACCGCGTGCTACTCTCGCCTCATGTCGCCTGCCCCTCGCGTTGGGCTCCACCGCACCTCGCGTCGCTCGCCCTAACTCGCACTGCACATATAGCCGAGGTACGTGTCGACGAAATACATCAGGCAATCTACTGAGGGGTATGCTTACGATAGTAGATGAATCGGTGGAGGTGCGCGTGAGGGAACCGTATGGTGGCACAGAACGCAAGAGACAGCGATTAGACAGGTTTAGGCCGTCAGCTTGACGTAATAACCTACGTCTTGTGTCTGTGTGGATTGTATTATGTATGATCAGATGTCTTAGGCTAAGCTTAGGATTCATATGGGGATGTCGACTAGGGAACCCCTGCCCCTCTTTATATGCTCTGGAGGGGTAGGCTTACAAGAAAAATATCCTATTTGGTATTATACAATATCTAATAAATAACATCTTCTTATAGCCTTGCGGTGCACGCCGACCAGTGCCGTGCGACGCACGCCTTGATCTTGTGGGCTGGGCCACCTCTGATGGTGCGTCCCATGTCTTGTCCTATGGGTACCGGGGGTCATACCCCCACAGCTAGTCCCCGAGCGCCTTGTATCCGCTGAGCAACACTGTCTTGAGCTTGTCCGAGCTGTCCAACTTGCTGCTGATCACCAGGAACAGGTGTCCGACCAGTTTAACTGGGAGCCGAGCTATTAAAGCGAGTATCCGAGCAGTTGAACAGGCGTCCGAGCAGTTGAACTGTCATCCGAGCTGTTGTCCGAGAAGTGGGAACAACGTCCAAGCAGTTCAACTGTGAGCAAGCCCAGACTTACTCGAAGCTGAGGTTTGCCACAAGGATGTAAGGGGCTCATGATAAAAAAATTGAAGTCTCCATCTTAGATGAAGTGTGCCCACTTTGGTTCCGGACGTCGAAGTTAGACGCTTAGCGTCCTTGACTTAGTCAGCGCGGAGGAACATAGTCACTTTGTAGAAGATTAAGTCGAAAAATAAGCACATTCACCACGAGGTGAAGTGTGCCGTCTTAGTCACCGAGTCTGACAGTAGGTGAATTAGTCACGTGGTGCCAGAGTTCAAAGTGGTAGTCTTTAGGTGCTGACCTAGTCCCCAATATCGCTGGAAACCAGTGTAGAAATAAATAAAGTCATCGCTAGATGACGTGTACACACGTAGTCCCTAAGCCTGCTGGAAGATTATGAAGATATCTTATAGCGGGGTCAGATAAAATAAGTCTGAGAGCTTACCAAAAGCAGAGAGATGTGCTTAGCACTGGAGTGCTGCGATAGATGTACTTATCAAGGCCCCCAACATGCCGCTTAGGATCAGCACCCTGATTCAGACAGCATGGAACAGCTCGATAGCACACATAACATGCGGCGTCGGCAAAACATAGTAAGCAAGCAGGCAAATCGATAGATGAGACGTAGCAAAATCCGACCATCAAGAGAGTCCCCAGCTTAGCTGGCGACTCTTGCACGAAGAATTCGAACGCCGAGGAGTTCCTAGCTTAGCTGGCGACGCTTGCGCGAAGAATCCAAACACCGAGGAGTCTCCAGCGTAGCTGGCGAGCCCCCAATGTAGCTGACGATGAAGCCCATGCGATGAGCTGTCCAACCAACTGGTCGGCGACAAAGTGAACGCTGAGCAGGAGTGACTGCCGAGCAGTCCGACCAGTTGGTTGGCAGTGAAGTCCGTCCGTGGTCCGACCACCTAGACGATGATCATCTTGTCCAGTCCCTGCGTCTAAGCTCGTTGACCGAACTATGCCGCTGCGAAACAAATGTGTAGAATGGGTAGTACATGATGTAAAAATAAAATATATGAACTCCAGAGAAGAATCAACAATGGTGATAAAATAGCGTATGTAGCTCGGCGATCAGTTGATGTGAACGCTTAGTGTTATTCTGAAGATGTGTTTATATTTAATATAAACCGTCCGACTAGTTAGTGTGTAGCTAGGTTTCCAACCCTAGCTAGCCTGTTAACTATAACGCGAAGCGTGGAGCCCATGTGCGTGTAGGAAGAGTAGGGCATCGCTAAGGAGCCACTGCTGACCACCTCTAATGCAGAGGGCAGGCGCTTGTGCACGTGTAGGGAGAAGTCGGAGACAGGGCCGTCTATGGGAACATCCGAGCATCAACATGACTGTTTGGGGATTTTACTTAGGCTTAGTTGTATGTCATCTTTAAGATGGTATACATGAAAGAAAATCGTTTGGAGAACAAACATGGAGAAAATAGCCCGGAGAAACATCATGGCGATATATGAAGATTGAAGAATATTTAGAAGAATATTAAAGCGTGACATAGCTTTAGACAGAACGTCTAGTCGGTGGTGTATGGCGTTATCTGGTTGGCGTTGATGAAATTGCCCGGCCCTCAAGCTTTTCGGCCTGTCATCATGGCGGGGGTCGTGGTTGTCACATCGCCGTTCTTCGCGGCGATCATCATTGCGACGCGGCAGGCGATCGAAACGAGTAGTCCGGGGGGCTCGCTTAGCGGCTCGATTGATGGCTCGGGCGGCTCGCTTAGCGGCTCGATGCAGTTGGATGAGTACGCGAAGTCGTAGGCGAATGGGCGTAGTCGGAGCCTGACGGAGTCAATCCACGTGGGGAGGCGAAGCCCTTGGGCGTGTCCGACCGGGGCAAGGCGTAGTCCGAGATCTTCCTTGCATGTCTATCATACGTGAGGTTGCTTGCATGGTGGTGTAGATCTAGATGCATATGTGCTTATATATCTCTTCAATTACTCCAATTAGCTTGTACGGCCGATCAGCATCTTCGGTGGAAACACCGCTCCACATCGCTAGCCGCCTTTCTTGATTGCTGCTAGTTGTCATGATCCGCAACAACGATCTTGCGTATCTAATTGGGTTGCTGCCAATAGAAATCATGCAGACATACGGATATATCTAGGAGTATTCATATAATAATATTTAATTATAGAGTGACTTGGCTTAGCTTTCTTAGATTTCTTGACTGCGCCTTGCACGTATTCCCGATCTTGACATCGTGTGTTGCGTCTGTTGGAGGCGCATGGCAAGGCGTCGGACTCCAGCACGCATAGCCGTTTGCCAAGGAAAGCAATCTGCTGCATGCCAGCGTCGAGTTGTCGCCAAATGCTAAGGTGTCAGCGATGTCGGTTGAAGAAGAAATTCCCATCTGGTTCACCATGGAATCAGCACGCACACCCTCTACCTAGCACGCTACTGTCGATGAAATATGTCTGGCAGACTACCGAGGGATATGCCTATGGTAGTAGATGAATTGGTGGAGGTGCGCGTAAAAGAACCGGATGGTGGCACAAAACGCAAGAGACAACAATTAGACATGTTCGGGCCGTCAGCTTGACATAATACCCTACGTCATGTATCTTTGTGGATTGTATTACGTATGATCAGATGTCTTAGGCTAAGCCTAGGATTCATATGGGGATGTCGACTAGGGGACTTCTGCCCCTCCTTATATGCTCTGGAGGGGTAGGGTTACAAAAAAAGTACTGGGTATCGATATTAGGGATACCCAAAGCAAGGAAGTTAGCGCCCATGCTGACTTCCCCGA